GCGGCTTCTGCGCAAGCAGATGGGGAGCGGAGACTGCGCGATCATCAGGGGTGTCGATTCCGTTTTAATGTTCGGGGGGCAGCCGAACACCCGGCGACTTAACCTCCCCACAATTTCACAAAGGATCTAGCCCACTCTATTTTGACAGCAGGCAATTATCTTTCTCAAGTTTGCGCCAATTATCAATTAGCATTGAATTTAAGGATCAGTAGTCAAGCAGGTGCAGATCCGAGGGGAAGGACATGGGGGGTACATGCTCAATTTAATTCAATTTTTCCTGGGATTTACGTCACAGCGCCGCCATCTAAAACAAAATTTCACTGTTCTGTTACATTACATACGTATTATGTTAAAGCTGCTTTATCAAAGATGCGAGGAGGTTTTGGTCTAAATTTGATGTCTCGCCACATTTTTTAACACAACTTTTATTTACCGGAGAATGATTTGGCCTTTAGGGCGCGCCGACTACCCTAGCCATATCGCGTCCAACGTACCGAAGTGCGATAAAATCGCCTCGCAGTGGTAACAGCATGATATAATCTGTACTATGTCATCGACCGGCGGCATCATAGAAGCTATAGTAATCTCACAAACCAGACAGCGGACATGCCGTTTGCTGACTAGCCTGCGCCTGATGTTTGGTGTTTGGGGGCTCAACTACTGCACAGCCACTCCACGCTCACTTGGGAGCGGTCAGCTCCATCCTACTGGACCAGCACTGCTTTTTATATATTCAGCCGTCTGTAACTTCATAGGCATTGCTGTCGGACGGCTATACATAATGATGAGGTCGATGTCCGCTTAAAATGCAAGTACGTCGACAACGTCACAGCATAGGTCACGGCCCAGAAGCCGAGAAAGCGGCGCTGGGATAAAATAACGCTCCCGATGCACCACATAGTGGCAGCACGACGTAAGAGCATGCTCTGCAGTCAAACGCTCCACTTATTCCCTGCACTGTGGCATGTGAGCAATATGGCATTTTTAGCCAGATGTTACATTGCTACTTAGATTACTCCGTTTCGTAAATAGCAATCCCGGCCGTTCTGTTCATTGAAAAACGCTGAAATAAACAGGAAATATTGTCACACGTATTGGCCACATAACCACACATGGCCTGATGGGTAAAACCCATATGTAGCGTGGGTGTGTCCCAGCCGTAGCCGATAAAGAGCAGCCTCTTCAAACATGCCGGTACGGTGGGATGCCTCCCACTTGCCATCAAGTGGTTTGATGGCCTTGAATTCATGAGCCACCTCCTCAAACGTATTATTAAGTTGTAACATATTTTGTGACGCGCCATGGATGAGTCTTGTGATCACCGACTTCAGGTCATCGGCCGATAGGTTCAAGGGGAGGGAGGGGAGGGGGGGGGGGCGGTCCGGGCACGCGACAGCTTTCGCTGCGGCGTCCACTCTCCCGTTACCCACATCGCCGACATGGCTCGCTATACGCATGAACGTAATTTTGACGTCCGTGTGGTGCAGGTGGGCTAGTTCCACGGGTGAGATGGGACCGGTCACGACGAACTGAAGTTGCGTCTAATAATAGGAGAGCACTGAACGAATCTTTCACAACCAGAAACGCACTGTCTGTACGGCATCAAATATACTGCGGGGTTGATAAGATTGTTAACACCTCAGTTGAAAACACTGCCATGGGGTTGGTAAGCTTACTGCTTATGCTTATGCTTACCCTTACTGCTTAAGTTTAAAGAACACAACGCATCTGGTGCCAGCAGGACCGCTCGGGCCGTCGGAAGATATCCTCACAGAGCTCTGATACAGCGAGCAGCAGTATGGTGGCGGCGAGCAGTCCGCTCCGCAGCCGGACTTGCGAACTGCTGCGCAGCGATCACATCTTCTCCAACTGACAGAGGTCCACGTCAACCAGGGGGGGGGGGGGGGTTCGCGACGCCAGGGCATTACGTCCCTACGCGCCAGCCGGGCGATCTCATCCAGACAGATACCTGCTTCGTCCAGTCAAGCCTTCATCCGCAGGCGCACGTGACTTGACGTCATTCGTCCTTCCATAAACGACTGGGTCAACATGTTTGAAAAGAGACCGATAGGCCAGGTGTTAAAGACTTATCGATACCCTGACAGCGTAACTCGGCGCGAGTTTTTTTCTACAGGATTAAGTGTCGGCTCGTAAGAAGTGACGGCGAAGAAGTGTCAAAGTCCAGCACCGAACTTGTCCGTGCTCTGTACCACCGTAGCAAGTGTGGCGGTCCGCTCCCTACGCAGTGTCAACGCATGCGTGGTGAACTGCGTCAAGAACCTCTTTGAAGGCCGTCAGGCATTGTTGCAAACAGGTGTTGCATAGCCCAGCACCAAACGTATCCGGACTCTGTACAACCGCAGCAAGGTGCAGTCGCCCGCTCAACACGCTACACGAGATCTCGCCTTAAAATGAGCATGCGTCTCACATGGCTGACTTTGACATGTTTGACGTGGGTTTCGCAAGGAAGTCGCCGGTCAAGTGTGATTCCAAGAAACTCTGCTTCGCCACGCGCTGGGATGACAGGACTGTACAGTCGCTGGTGCACAGGATCTCTGTATTCCTTGCTACGTGAACAGAAGTAAATACGTTTGGTTTTGCTGGTGAAAAACTGAGCTCGTTTTCACAGTTATCTCAGTTTCGAGGCCGAGGCGTCTGACGAGGCGCAGCTGAAGCTGCCTCTCAGTATACGAAATCGAAGGTGCCTCCAATCAAACGACAATATCGCCAACAAGTGGAGGTCAGGGAATGTTGCGCAGCAAAACGCCAGGGATGCAATTTATCATCAGAGCAAACAAGCTCACACCCGCTGGGGGGACAACCCCTGGTCACAATACCCTGCGGGACGCCTTTCTCCCATTCAAAACGATCCGACAAGGTCCCACTGATTCGAAGGCCGAAACATTTTTGATGTAGAAAGTTTTGGATGAAGGCACATATCCCTTGTTTCCAGACCTAAGACAGAATATCATGGCGGCAAGCCGTATCGTATGCCCTCTCGATATAGAATAAAGCCGCTATTGTGTGTCGTGTTTGTTTAAAAGGTCAATGAGGGGTCAATGTTATGGGGCGGAAGTGCAGAGTAGCGGGTACGTCTTTTTTGGCCTTCAAGATAGGGTCCACCGTAGGTTCGCACCACGCACAGGGGTCGCCCTTCGTTCATATAAAATTGAAAAGTCGAAAAATCCCATGTACACAGTCGACGTTTAAATGAGAGAGAACATCGTTATGTATCTCGTCTGGTCCAAGACAAACACCTTTTTTATTTTTTTAATAAATTTGATCCAAACCCTTTGAATGGATGAATTTCTGGGATCAGCGCTCACGCTAAGCAGCGCTTGTTGTGTGGGCCCTGGTCCTCACCATCCGATCGCGCAATTCCAGGCAACGGCAGAATTTAGTGCCGAAAGCGTAACGTGCCCCAATGCTCGGCACGGTCCGTGCTGCCCTCTGACGTCAACTGACCTTTAGCGCGACCGCTGCCACCGGCCGCAGGCCATACCTGCCAAGGGCAAAGAGCGAGCCCCCTAAAGCGACTCGAACCCATCCTGCCATGAGTGGATGGATCGGAATGCAGGCGCCAACTGAGCCACCGGGACGGACCAACGGGCGTCTTAGTGTTGAGCGGAGTTCTGCCACGGTAAAGCCGGCGTTATGTCCCTTCGAACTGGTGGTGGTGGGTTTAAAACTGCTCCGAGCCGACTCGCTTCGCTGTTTGTGGCGGATAACAACTATGATGTTTGTTCCGAGTCTACATCGTTCCGCTAGTGCAGGTCCTATTTAATTCCCTACTTCCCGTTCATTTGGTACCAGGTTACCGCCAGCCTGCAACATCAGGATGACAGTCTGGACACATTTTCCTGATGCACCTTATACACGCTGTCATACAGCAATGCGACGCGTATGACCGTTAAGGCTATCGACGTATGCTCTCCATGGCGACCGCTTCGCCTCGCGTACAGTACGCTTCGCACGTGCACCGGCCCGCTTAAATGCGATGAGGTTTTCAGTCGTCGCGGAACGAGCAAAAACTAAAAACACTAGTTTTACGCAAAACTATCATCTCTGCACTCTTTCGACCACCAGTGAACTTCCGCCAGTGGCTAAAATAGATGGCGTCACATCAGTCGTGAGAGTTGATGCATCGTCGCCTTCCGTAGGTCCGACAATGAACATGCATTCCTCAATGAAACGTTGTGAATCTGCGCTTTTAAGATTCCACCGTGGCAGTTTCAGACCAGGATGGACCTCGTTCGCCTCGCTCCAGATCGGAAAGTGCTCACTTCCCTACATACTATCTTCTATACCCCATGACAGCCTAGGTAACAGCGCAGAACGAACGAAACGGCCGGGGCGCTACCTGATGGAAGAGATGCGTGGATGCGACGACCCGTGCTCAGCACACAGAGGCCATTTTCCGTTAGCAAGCTTCACGGTCGACCACGACAGCTTATGCGGCAGCAATCTCAAGCCCAGCTCAGCGCGTCAACGTCCCCCAGTATCAAGAATGACGAAGGAAACTGATCAAAACCGGACTGAAGCGCAGAGTCACAAGCTTCCTCAGTGGGAGGGTGGTACATACAGCACACGTCGCCGTTGCTGGTCCGAGATCAACCGCGACAACAAATGGTCTGTAGGCTACCTGCAAGTTCCGCAAGTGCACGAGGTACATTGCTATGTACTAGGACTGCAGCCACCTCGTAGGCTACAGTGGTGCCCCCGACCTCTGTGCGGTAGACGCTATAACATTTAATGTTTGCCGGCGAGTTCGGAGAGACCTTGGTCCCCTGATGACCAGCTGACCTGATGACGTGACGACTTAATGACTAGCCACGTCACACCTCCCCTGCCGTGTTACGACAGACAGCCCGAATTGCCTGTCAATTTTACACCTCTCTTGGTGGACCTGCCGCCTTCGGATGACATGCCACCTCAAACCTGACCTGTCATCTGACCCGCGTTTCCTGAACCTATCTTGTACCCCAACTGACCTGCCGTATAGCCGCCAACCCGCCACCTCACGACTGACCTGCCATGGCACGACTGACCTACCGTGTCACGACTGACATTCCGTGTCCCGACCTTACCCTGCCGTGTCCCGACTGACCTGCCATATCCTGACCGACCTGCCGTGTCACGAGGGTCACGACTGATCCTTCCGTGTCCCGACTGACCTGCCGCTATCCCGACCGACCTGCCGTATCACGAGTGTCACGACTGACCTGCCGTGTCCCGACTGTCGTGCCGTCTCGCCGCCTGCCGACTGACCTGCCGTTTCCCGCAGCAGCTGCATGCAGTCGGCGTGGTCGCCGCGGCCGGCCAGGTCCATGGCGGTGAGGCCGCAGTGGTCCTTGAGCAGCAGGTCGGCGCCGCTCTCCAGCAGCAGTCGCACGTTCTCCAGGTGGCCGTGCTCGGCCGCCAGGTGCAGCGACGTCTGGCGACAGGCCGCGCCGTGCGCGCGTCACGCCCCGGCGTCGGGCGGGGCCGCACGCCCGCCGCACCCCGCCGACCGCGGCCCGGCACGATATCGGACCGGACGGACACGCCAGGCACGCCAGGCACACCACGCAGTCCGAATTGAATGGACGACGCATGTCAATAAGGCCGGCTGGCGGCGGCCAGTGTGAGCTTTAAAGGCGCAGGCGAGTGATCCGTGCGGCGTGGTGGTGAGACGGGTCGGGACGGGCGCGCGTCCGGCCGCGGTCAAAATACGGGCGTCACTGCGAGCCGCACGAGCAGTGCAGCTGGGCTCTTCCGAGAGGCTATTTCTGTCCGCGCTGCGAGAAGTCACGGTGTCACTGCCCCCTCCTCCCCATCCCCTCTCTTCTTCGAATTCGCAGTGCCAGTCACGGTCAGACCCACGTCCTGGCCCACACAGATACAAGCTCGTCCAGACCCCAGCCGACAGACTGACCAACGGACCGACATTGGGACCGGATTGTGACCCGGGCTGATGGTGCAAATGACCCCAGTCCTGACACACCGCCGGACCCACAGGACCAGTCAGCGACAAGACCCACGGTCTGATCCATAGACGGACATGCACAACCCTGCTGGAACCAACAGCAACACTGTTGAGCTGACCAGGAGTCCAGATACCAAAACCAGCGTAACAACCAGGCCCTGATCCACGATCCGACCAATCCAAATCAGCTTACCGATTCAAAACCGCATAACGACCCACGTTACAACATGTGTTATAGCCCTCGTTTCGAATGGTCGAGCCCTTACCTTGACCCAAAGCCTAGCTCAAATCAAACGAGACAGCGAGACACCCCACAGCCCCAGACGTGCGCGCTCAACCACTAACACTGCCTTTAATCGCATTGTAGCAAGCGTGCCATGCGAGCAACGTGTTATCAGGTGAGACGTCACAGCGACCCGGTTCCTATGAAAAGCAAAAACTATTCTTTGTCCGTATTCAGACAATGGGTACGACGTAGCAGCTCGAGGGGAGGGGGAGAGGGAGGAGCACGGTTCCGACCACTCCTTGTTGGCAGCAGTGCCTCCTGTCTCGCACGTCCTCCTCTCAGCCAGGCAGCCAACGGTGATTCGGCACCCCTCCCCCGGGGCGCTGAGCACGCCGGGAGAGCGGCGCACTTACCCGGTATTCGCCGCGAGGGCCGCACGGCACATCCGGGTCCGCTGCAACAGGGGATGGACGCCATCAGCAGCCGCCTCGCCTCATCTGCCTCTCTCATCACGCGCTCGACTCACACTCGACACTTGAGCATGCGACCGTGCATCTGAGTTCTTCTAGAAAACGAGCATCTGTTGCGCAGTTTGGCACATGACCCCTTCAATAGAGCACTTCGTGGCCTGAATGTTGATTCCGTCAGTGTGCAGTGGGGGCAATTCAGTTTTCTCTGACAAGGACGACGGTGGGAATTCCGACAAGAATGGCGATAACCGGTACGCGCACTCAAAACGTTGTACCTAACACACTTAGCGGGATATAAAGCTACAGAAACAGCGAGCGTGACCATCCATCAGTCTATTAACCAGAGAAACGTTGCCTGTCTTCAAGGCTAGCTAAACATGACTGGTACAACCTCACGCGATGTGCGACGAAAGACAGCGGCATTCACAAACATACGTTTTTACTCGTTCTCGGTAGGGCTACACCACCCAAGTTTTTGACCGCGTCATCATGTTCGATAAACGTCAGCGGTATGTTCGGCGCCGTACGGAACCGCACCACCCCACCGCCTCTGCCCCCATGAAGGCGACGCTACCAGCACGTGCTATCACTTTAACATCACTCGGGCTCCGATCGGCGAAGATAGCTTTACCATCCAACGATCACTAAATATTCCAATCGTATTTCAAGCGTGCGCAGATTTCCACCGACACTAAATGAAACACGGAAAGAGACTGCGGGTAGTTTTGCGTTGGTAGTGTTCAGCGTTATAATCTTTACGTCCAGTAAACACGGCAAGGAAAGCCCACGCGTCAATAATTGATGTTGAGACGCAAAGCGTCAGGATGAACCGAACACCAAAAAGCACCATACGAGAATCAGGGTCGTACTGGATTCCACGCCGGTAAGCTCACATGTATGGCTTAAGCAAATGACTTTCATACATGATACGATGACTGGTATCTGTAACATCGTAGGTCGATTGCAACGCTAATAGTTTGGCAGAAAGTCCATTACATGGCGTCAGAAAACCTAACCGATATTTATTTCACGAAGTTGGAGCTCTAGTCACAGCCATTTGATACAGCCACGAGTTTTAAGTAAGTTATAGGCAGGCAAGAGCGCCTTCTGAAAGGGGGGGGGGGGGGGGTAAGAGAAGCCACGCGGTCAGTAAGAACTGTCACGCGCGGGAGGCGGCAGATGGTCTACCGAGAAGAGCGTGGCTGCGTTGCTGCCGTGACCTGAGATAACTTCGGCACGTGTTATGGAGGGCGTATAGGCGGTCAGACTGTAGAGAAATGAGCATTTCTCGAAATCTCCGACACATCCATGGTAGAAATGTGTGTTACTGAATTCATTCGTGACTTGTGTTGCAACAAAATGTCAGTTTTTTCTGCCCCCTGCATATCCGACAGAAAACATGCAAAAACATGGACTACAGACCCCACTGCGCTCAGCGATTTTCCATAACAGCTGTCAAACTTCCGCAACCAGAGCCAAACACCGCCGTATTTTGCCCCGTCCAGCGTGATTGCGTGAATGACGTGAGATCAAAGTCGGCAAAAGGCAGAGATTATTGCTGTGACTCTGGTGATATCCTCCGAGTGATTTTCAGCGTTCCAATGGTTTTGGGGCGCCCGCTGGGTCCGATAGCGTTCGTAGTGATAGATAGATAGACAGCTGGTCTGGACCGACGGACCGGTCGCCGCCGCTGTCAGACGGCTGGTCTGGAGCGGCGGACCGGCCGCCGCTGCCAGACGGCTGGTCTGGAGCGGAGAACCGGCCGCTGCCGCTGCCAGACGGCTGGTCAGGACCGACGGACCGGCCGCCGCCGCCAGAGGGCTGGTCTGCAGCGACTGCTGGTCTGGAGCGGCGGACACGCCGCCGCCGCTGTCAGACGGCTGGTCTGGAGCGGTGGACCCGCCGCCGCCGCTGCCAGACGGCTGGTCTGGAGCGGAGGACCGGCCGCTGCCGCTGCCAGGCGGCTGGTCTGGACCGACGGACCGGCCGCCGCTGCCAGAGGGCTGGTCTGCAGCGACTGCTGGTCTGGAGCGGCGGACACGCCGCCGCCGCTGCCAGACGGCTGGTCTGGACCGACGGACCGGCCGCCGCCGCCGCCAAACGGCTGGTCTGGAGCGACGGACCAGCCGTCGACGCCACAGGTGGCGCTGCGGGCGCGCTTCAGTCGCCGACGGCGAATCGGACAGCTATGCCCCTCACCAGCTGCCGCCCGAGCAGCAACCCAGCCTCGAGGTGTATCCAGTGTAAGCGCTGTGCAGTGCAGTGCTTCATGCAAACATCGCGTGCTTCGGCTTTAAATAAGCAAAGGCCAAGCAACCCAATTAAAAAAAGACAAAAGCTCAACTAGTAGCCATTATAATATATTTTCGAGACTGTGCTACACTTCAACATGCAATGACAACATGCGACAGCAACCCCTCATCAGTGCTTCAGGGTCGTGCGTTTGTGACCAGCGCCGCGGCGCGATCCGTGCCTGTCGCGTTGCCAGACCCCGGCTCAAGCCGCCCTCCCGGCCCGCAGCTGGCGGTCCAGGACCGTGAACACCGCTCAGCGAGGGTCGGGTCTGGCATCCAAAAACCACAAATGGGCTGAGCCGGCCCAGCTCTCGCTGCGCGGCGTAACACAACCTGCCGCGCTTCCCAGGCACGGGTCAAACCGCGACGTTAGTGAGGATGCATTCCCTCTGAACAAGGGCTCTCCACACTCATTCTATAATGCACATGCACAAACCCTGGATAGTGTTAATGGAGATTCCTCCACAAGTTACATTCAGCGCACGCATAGCATATGCACATCCTGAGAGCAGACAGTCATACTCAAGCTATCAGGCCGACAGACACCAGCCCAGTGAAGCCCCCCTACACAATCGCACACCACACACACTCCCGTTCACTCCTCCTCTGCCGTCCGCATGGCTGCCGGTGTCGCCAGGAAGGGGGAGGGTGTGAGGAGAGGCGTTGACCTCCCACTGACCGCCCGACTGGAGCAGCACGCGCAGACAGCGCGAGCTGTAGGTGGTGGCGGCGGCGTGCAGCGGCGTGCGGCCCCAGGAGTCGCGCGAGCTGATGTGCGCGATCTCCTCGCTGGCCAGGAGATCCTCCAGCAGCTCGGCGTTGTCCCAGAGCGCCGCCTGGCGACGAGAGACACGGTCACACACGTTCACGGGAGACACAGTCATACGCGGTCACGGAAGACATGTGTCATACACGGACATGGAAGACGCGGTCCCACTCGGTCATGGGAGGCACGGAGACACGGCCACACACGGTCACGGGGGACACGGTCACGGGAGACACGGCCAAACACGATCAAGAGAGACAGGGTCACCGGGGACACGGTCATACGGTCACACACGGTGTCATATAACACGGACGCGGTCACCCGGCCGGACGGCGTGGCGCGCCGCAGCTCGCGACGCCTCACACCGATTCCGGCCGTGTGATCTTAGAGTCCACCGGCGGCGCAAACAGCGACCTGGGTGGCCGGTCCGGGCGTCCTGGTCCTGGTCCTGGACCTGGACCTGGACCTGGTCCTGGTCCTGGTCCTGGACCTGGACCTGGACCTGGACCTGGTCCTGGTCCTGGTCCTGGACGCCCGCGGGGACCAGGCCGCCCGAACCAGGCTTTGGAAAGAGATGGTCCAATGCGCGGCTGGCGCCTTGGTGTTATTTTAAGCCCGTCCGCAATCGCACTTATGTCATCAGGTAACCGTGAACGGTGGGCAATCTCGTACGGGTGTGATGTGGAGCCTGCATGGTGTTCTAGACATGTTCGGGGACAGCTGTGCGCGTGATGATATCGCAAGTGTGCGTTAAAATACGCGTGAAGACAAGGTTGGCTATTGGCTGTCAAACACAGCAGTGCAATGAGATTCTCGGTAATCCTGCTTGCAGCATATACCACGAATGTGGTTTGCAGAACCTGTCTCCAAGCGGTGCGACAGGTAACCACTTCAGGCGGCAAACCAGGGGAAAGAGATAGTGGCCACGCAATCTTCAATACCTTGAGTTGAAATACGACGCCAAGCTGTCGTTATATTACCTGATGTAGCAGTCTCCCTGGGAACTCATCCACATCCTCTGGGCTCATTCTTCCTGCCACAATGTCAAATCTGTAAAGAAATTATAAAAACATGTTAATCGCCTCATTAACTGGCACTTGGACGCTGCCTCGAGATTCTGTTTTTTGACAATGGCATTATAATTGCATAAACTGTTCATTACATTAGCGAGTAGCACTATTCACATAGATAGATAAGACAGCAGTATTAGCCTTATTCCTCGGAGAAAAACTAGGAGAATGGAGATATAATCGGGTGGATATTTCGGCAGCATGCAGTTATGGAAACAGTAGCTAAAGTGAATTGTTTACAATACAAATATATTGTTGTGACAATCAGTTTAGGTGATGCTCTAAAAATTCTGAGGTGCCATTGTGCCAGAATTCACATCTGATAACATCAAGCCGCATATTGAGGCGTAATTGCTAAAGAACTGTGGTGTACATCTGGAACTATTTTGTTGATATCCTCTGTCATTGTGGTGATTTTCAGAGTTTGTTCTCTCAAATGATCAAGGTCATTGACTGAAGGCCTTTCCCAGAATACAACTCCCATTCCATGTTACATTGAATTTATTGAAACATGATGGCTTATATTCTGCATCTGCTCCCATATTTTGTTCAGGAATATAAATATGCTGTGAAGGGTCTGTTTGAATGCAAATAACCAAGTAACATTTTAACTCTGCAGGCAGGGACAGCGTCCGGGGGGGGGGGGGGGACGCATCTCTCTCTCTCTCTGTCTTTGGATAGGAGACAGCCCCCCCCCCCCCTATTCCAAAAAACTCTTTACAGGAGAAAATTCATTATTTCCAAGTATCTTTGCTTATGGGCATCAATTTTTTCACCCCAAAAAGTTTGTTCACCTCTCCAGGCATCGAACTGCCAAAAAAATATGACGCTGCGAGCCTTTCACCTTTCCGAGCATACGAACTGCCACTGGGACTTATATACATGACCACTGAGCCGTATTCCCACGATTGTTGGAGTGTGTTAAACATATTCAGTCCATCTCTCTCTAATCCAGTTCATTTGTAGCATCTTCGGCTCCAGAAATACCCCTCTCTGCTAGGCTGGGAGGCTGGATCCCCAGGTATGCTTGAGTTGCAGAATCTGCAGTTCATATAGATGAATCTGGTGACTGGTTTCATACTTCAACATGTGAACAGGTCTGCATTTTAATTTATGTAATCACAGACAAAAGATACAACTATTGCATCATCCAGGTCAGGTGAAAGCACTGACCCATCTGTCATTAATAAACAGGTGATCTATTTGAGAGCAATCCTGTGGCCAATCATCCAGCCCATCCTCATGATGCCAGTCCACCTGCAAAATCCAGTCCACAAGAATGCTTTGCCTCTGCTGGTACATGTTTGAGTGGCACGCTTGAATTGGAACAGCAACCACAAACAACTGAAGCTGAGCACAGACATTCGCCCAAACCTATCTAACATTTGCTTTATTTTACACAAGGGTACAGGGGTACTGGGTTTCAGGGTGCAGGTAACAAGAGGCAGTGAAATGTGTGAGCATTATTGTCTGAAAAGTAACTTCTGTTCCCTTTTCATTTTGAATCAAGTGAAAAAATATACTGTGGTCTTTTTGATGCATCAGTTTTTGCTGCCTGCATGATTTTGTACCTTTAGCCACTACTTTTTGTTACACTGTCACACAATTATTGTTCTGTTCCCATTTGTTGAGCTGTTCTTTCTGTTTCATTGCCAGTAAAACATGTTCACAATCTGTTCTTTATCTGCCAAACCATAAAGATTGTTTTCAAACACCTGCTGTTCTCTAAAATAATGCAATTCTGTGAAAATGGTGTGAATTACATGACCTAAGACGAAGAAATCGCCAACTTCTGAAAAAATCTGGCAGCATAATTGCTTTTCCTTAGGTGCAATGTTTAAGTCTGTAAAGCTGTGTTCAGACATTGCTTTTCCAGCAAGTACAAAATGTTAAATCATTTGAGCATTGGATCAATCAACCTGACCTATTACTGAGACCTGGCCTACAGCGACATTTTGAAGTACTTAAAATGTGTTGAAAATAATCACAGGGATGGTACCAGAAAACTTGCCAGAATGCATCTTTTCATTTTTGTGTTTTCCTGGGAAAAATGAATACAATATAATAATAAATGTGCCACCAAAGTAGGGCAATGCATGTCAATCTATGTGTACTCTGATTTGTTGGCAACAGCCAAACATGTCTTTAGTTTTGATTACTTTACGCTTTTGCTCAACTACACTGAAGCAGCTCCCTTTCATCCATGTCATCTTTGTCTTCAAGACCCTAGTGTTCTTATTCTTGGTTACACAGAAGCAAGAAGCTGTGGATATTGACCTTTGGGAGGCATCCAGGGTCAGTGCCACCAGAGAACAAGGGCCAGCTGCCTCATTGTGGCTTGCCAAGGGGGACCATTTGGGGGAATGTTCAAGGGGAAACAGGGGTTGAATTCCTCTTGAAATTTAAGGAGGCCCTGTAGTGTGACAGTGGACTGCAGATGACAGGTACAGAACATTCCATCAAGTGCAAAAGGAGGGCCCTCGAGGCATGCAGGAGACAATATCTGACCACAGGACGGTCTGGTGGTCCAAAGCTGGCCTTGTTGGTTGACAGGAGGTCCCATCAGATGTGATGGAGGCCCATCATATGCATAGGACTTTTAAGGTCCATAAAAAGCATAGGCTAATCTGCACAACTAAGAGAGGTGGCTTGCAGGTGAACACGCATGAAATCTCAACCTGCTGGTGTTTTGCCACTTGACATGCACATGCTTGATCAACTTTTGCATGGCATGTTTGAATGGCTCACACAGTTGTACATGCTGTGCTCAGAAGCTGACATTGTGACAAGACATTCCAATCACTGGTACAGTACAGGGCATAGGAAGAATTTGCACAGCAATAATCATTTGGGATAACTTCATTTATGGAACTCATGGTTTATCACCCATTTTTACACAAGTTTTATGACACTGGTTGTCTGGTCTTGCCTTCCCTCCTCTTCCCCCCTCCTCCATCACCAATTGATAGCACTAGCCCTGCCTGTAAGAGAAACTGTCTGTAAAGGCAAATGAACTTATGCCAAGTCACATTCCTGTCTATTTGAAACACTGTCCTTTCTCTCTATTGATTTGGAGCTTTACCTTCTTACTGCATTTTTCTGTTTAGACTCACTTAAACTATTTTGCATGGACTGATTTCTGGGATCAGAGCCCTGACTAGGCTGTGCTTATTACTTTAGCCCCGACCCCACCATCGGATTGCATCATTCCAGGTCAACAGCAGAATTTGGTGGGGAAAGGTCAACATGCTGCATCCGACATGACTTGATTTTAAGTGGCTGTCACTGGCTGCATACCATCTCAGTGCAGGGTAAATTATGTGCTTGATGAGGCCTGAGCCCACCCTACCATAGATGTGAAGATTGGAAAGCACGTACTTTGACCAACCACTTCAATCATTTGTGCATTTCTGCACAGCTTCATGTATGCATATATCTCTGAATGCCTTTCCTTGACATAAAACTTTAGATCTCACCTATTAATATTTCAATAGAGTAATACTGTCATTCATGTTTTGTCATTAGTAAAAGGGCAAGATAGTCTCTCCAAACTTGACCCATTCTTATTTGACTTTACCTCCCGTATCAAAAACCATGCATTAAAAGTGATATGGCACCCCTGATAATACACCCCTCAGCATTAGTGTTGCTAATGCTTGTAGAAACACCTGAATGAACTGGTTACGTTCTGACTTGACATTATCTCATTTAGCATTACTTGGAATGATCTAGGGATTTGCTTCCTTTATAGTGGGAGCTGCATGTTCCAGTAGACCATCCTTATCTGCCAACCAGACTGTGCAATCCATCTACCACATTTAATGCCTATATGACATCATTGTGCTCAACCTTGTGCTTATGTGTGCCATACTCAGGCCAGGCCAAATCATGCTCAATTTGTACATTAATTTATTCTACATGTTTGAAAAAGTCCTTTGCCTGAAATTGTCATTGCAATATTGAAATTCCCTGAAACATTGACTCTTTATGCTCTGAAAGTAGTAGTGCACTGAACCTGAGTGTGTGATACTGGTCATGATATGTCAGACATGTGGACATATTCCCACATACTTGGCAAACATTTATTCTCCAGTCTTGTCCATCAGTTCCAATCCTGGGCCAGCCTGACCAGCATCAGGTTGGCATATGCCTGTTACCTGGTCTGTTATGCTTTAAACTGTTTTTGTTCTGCATTTCAGTATGGCTCATTGAAGTCCTTACTCTGTGTTCAATGCAGCATGGCTGGAGTACATCAAGGTGGCAATGCAACATAAACTGAGCTATTGGCTGGACAGTGATGGTGATTGGGGTCCACCAATATTTTCTAGCCCTCCAGCGGCTGTAACAAGCCCGCAGCCATCACCAACTAGGGGTCACTTGGTCATTTCCTTTGACTGAATGGTTCTGCTTGGTTATATTGATTTCTTAAAAACCCTTCTGTAAAATAAAGTAGCAGTTGTCCTATAATTAAAGACCATTCGCATGCATCATCGTTTCTTTAACATGCGAAGTTCACAGAATATTTAAAGCGCTACGAAAATCACATCTCATCTCAGTTTAGCAGCAGAGCACGATTTCTGACTCAGAGGCATCCAACCATGTCTCACCTCCAAATACGTCATCCTCAAGAACGATCGAGACAAATCTGGGAACCCACCTACGCTTCAAACGTCCTCATACATTTGAACTTGTTTGCGAACGCCTTCAACACATGAATGGACAAGCAATAAAGAAATATCCACACAACAATGGGATGAACAGAATGCGCTCCTTCACGCCTCTCTTGCGCCGCTTTGAGTGGCCAGCTATCGCTGTATTCCTAGCTTTGTTTCTTAACCACCTGTCCTACCACCCATCCTTCCCACAAGAGCATATCCATTTTATCGTAACAGATGTACTTAAGGCAACCAGAGCCGTTCACAAATGACTTCTGATTTGAGTAGATCGGTTCTCTAAAGCGACACTGCAGCGCTACGCCGTCCTTTGGCGTTGAATGTTATTGATAATTGCTTTCATATATGCGCTTTTGAGCGCGAAATCGACATTTATCTCCCAGGTGACGTCTTATTTACAAACATCGATCCCGTACAACAGCGTTGCAGCGCTACCCCGCCGTTTGATCTCGAAACTTCGCCTTTCGAGCTTTCTGAGCGCCACAATCGACCTTGAAATTTGACCAAAATTTGAGGGCCCTAAGGTCTAAAAAGGCTAGCCTGAGGTCTCATTCAGGAGCCTCGGCCCGCAGGGCCGGGCACTCCAATACCAGCCAGAGGGCTCTGCACTGATCAGGGCTCCACTGAGTCGACAGGGGCCAATATTTCGATCAGACGCCACCAGTAACGCAATGTCGCCCCCTTGGCGGCATGGGCCTGAGTGACAAAGCCCAAGGCCCAAGCCCAAGCCCAAGGCCCACAAAGCCCATTCCCCAAGCAGTGACAAAGCCGGAGGCAGCGATTTACATTGTTCGCGGTCCCACAGCGCCTAACAGGGGCCCTGTGCTGTCAAGGCGCCCTGAGTCGGCCAGAGGCAATGTTCGAGGAGGCCCGAAGAGCCTAGAGGGCCCATTGGGTCCGACGATCAAGGGCCCGATTGGAGGGTACAAAGGGCTAGTCGGAGTCTTTTTCAGGGGCCCTGACCTGCGAAGACAGACCCTCAAATAACGGTCAGAGGGCCCTTTGCGCCGATCGGGAAGCCATGAGCCGATATAATCCTGTATATTGGTCAGGCACTAGCCTAACCAGCATAGTCGGCTTCGTGTCGGTATGAGCCTGAGGACCCCTTCCTAATCAGGTATCAAGCCGGGGCCAGCAATTTACTACTGGTCGGGGTCTTGTATCTGGCAGGGGTCCACAGCGCCTAAAAGAGAGCCTTGTGCTCGCAAGGGTCTGAGCCGATCAAGGGAATGTTTGATGAGGCCCGAAGAGGGACCCGGGCAGCCCACCAGAACCGATGATCAAAGGCGCGGCTGTAGCGCATAAGGGCGCGAAGGACTGGCTGTAGGTCATATAAGAAATCATGGCCCGTAGGGCCGTGAACTGAAAGATCAATCAGAAGTCCTCTTGCACCGTTTCAGGAACCCCTAAGACAATACGGGTGCCTGAGTCGGTCAGAGACCACGAACACCGAGTAGTCGGCTTCATGCCCGTCTGAACCCTTGAAAAACATTTCCCAAGCAGAAACGAGGCCGGAGTCCGCGATTTGAAATGCTTCGGGATCACTGACACAATGGGGGGCTCCTGTGCCGGTTCGGGGTCACGGTGCCGAACAGGGGACCAGCGGGGCACGTGGCCCAGAGTCGGAGCGGTGTTTGAGAGGGCCCAAAGAGGGGCCGGAGGGTCCCTCGAGACCAACGATCAAGGGCTCGATGGGAAGGCTGGAGGGTCCGAAGGGCTGGCTGTGGGTTACATTAAGGACCCCACCCATTGGCGTCCTCTCCATTGTCAGCGAAATGATCTCTTGTGCCGATAGTTCTCTTGCACCTGGAACAGAGCGTTCCTCTATTTTGGCCAGAGATTCCGACAACGAACAGTCGGCTCCGTGCTGGTCTGAGCTCTGGGGGCCCATTTCCCAATCATGGACACAAAGCCGGACCCGCGACCTGCATTGGTCGGGCTTCTGTATCGTCCAGGGGCCACAGTGCCTAACAGAACATTCTGTGTCAACAAGGGGCCTCTAATGGGTCAGGAAAAGATGCTTCAACAGGAATGGGGACGGGGGCCCGAATGATAGAGGGTCTCTTGCGTTGGTTGGGCCCCTTGCGTTGGTCGGGCCCCTCTGACAATTGAAGGTAACATAAGAGCTTATGATGAATGCTCACATTGAGGCGACAGAAGAGTCATGTGCCAGTGAGGGCCCGCAGTACCGAACGGTGGGCCCCCAGCCGTATTTCGGCATTGGCCCGTTCAGCCCAACTGGAGTCTATGTGTCAATTATTTGGCCACCTGCGGCGAGCAGGGATGCTGTTGCTTTAATGACGGCCTATGCGGGGATCTGGGGTCAACTGCGCGGGCTAGAAGGCCTCTGGCGTTAGGGAGCGGACCAATGTGATACGGCGGATCCCTCTCAGGGCCTCCGTATCGGCCAGGGGATGCCGCCCGTGTCATCAGAATGACGGTCGGAAAACACACCGCGTTGGGAAATAATGACCCCTCAGTCCTTGACCGTGAACAACAGTGTGCTCGGTATTGTGGTATTAAGGGAGCCCCTTGACCGGACAGAAATAAGGGGTTTCAGTAGTGTTGAATGAAGTGAGTCGAAATTAGTTCAAAACGCACAAGACCATCCCATGTTTCCCTGAGAACGTCAGTTATTTTGCAGAATCCACTAGTGAAACAAATCATATCAAAAGGCTTGACCACTGTGCGTCTCGGAAACCACAGCACGTGGTTCGGTTCTCTGCGGCCCCCGCCCTCCCCGCCAGTGAGAGCAGGCTATGTCACACAGCCCCAGCAGCTGAGTGCGTCATAAAGCCGCAATGACACGCCCGCGATCTCGGGGAACAAGGGTAGCGATGGCTTGGTTTGCAGTTTTTGTAAAACCGAACGGCGTTGGCCAGTGCAAGTTACGTCAAGGGCGGGCGCCTTGCGCGTAACAGTGACCGCCGTAAGCTAATGTTGAATGTTTTTTTCACAATGAATCTGTGCAGTTCAAAGATTACATTAGGCGAATCTTCTTGTTAAATTTTGAGGTTGTCCTCTTAGACAGATTCACAGAGTAACGCGTAAAATAAAGATCTTGTCTTTACGCTTCCAATTCCATCACCAGATTCCAGCACCACTTAGCGGTGCTTTAAAGACGATAGCGTTATTGCCATCAACCTAAAACCGCACAGGTGAAATATACGCCTGGAATATGTCTTAGTGTGCAATTTGGTGTTCAAAATCCTTCAAAGGTATTCATTGCGAATGGGTCATCATTTTCGTCTACCTGTTGGCCGCGGCCTAGTGTTAGACCCAGGGCCGACGGTGCGCAGCCTTTAGGAGACTGCAAACCTGGCGTCGCGGTTTTGGTCGCTAAGATGTGCGAGCGCGCATGTCCTCATTTACAAATGGGCCTGCATTGGGTACGAAAAAGGGGTCTCTTGAGGGTAGTTTTTCTTAGCCGCAAGTTGGGTAAAAAAAAAGTTGCTCTCATTAACAAATGGGCCACATCCGGCGATTTGTTGTGGGGGTAGAAGGCTTTTACCATCAGGGGCTCTTTGTCAGCCCTGTGCCCCACCTGCGAGGGCTCCGGCTATGTCCCTGGTCACCCTACTTATTTGATCTGAGTAGTAGTATGTGTAAGAATAGTAGAAGATTAGTGTATTAGATCGTGTACCTCATGACGTGTATGTCTGTCGACATGTTAAGGTAGTGCATTAAGTCGTGTACCTCATGACCTCAAAGGAGTAACCCATCTTTAGGACATATTTTAAAAGCATACCCAAGTGAAACCTCGGAACCAGTTACGCCTAATAATAGCAATGGGTGGTGCTAATGGGTGGTGCTAATGGGTGGTGCTAATGCAGCACCATGAATGCATGATAAGGATATCAGTAGTAATTAATTTCGAAGCCAAATTACGAGGTCAGCGCTTTGTAACAACGCAACGCTTCTTTCCTGCAGTTGTCCCGATCGCCGTCGTCATGACAACCGCCGTGGCACCTCTGCTGGTGTGAATAAGAGAACGTTTGTGATTGGTCCGGCGGACGATGAGAGCCTGTTACCGAGAAGCGCTTATGTTGACGTTTGGACCAGTGCATCACTTTGGATCAGGTTATGTTCCCATTCCCAAAGCCAAAGTGCGCCCCGAAAAAGCTAATGCTGTAAACGCCATGGAGGATGACTCGAAGCCATGGCGTGACGTTTAATGAATTCGCTGTACAATACCTTCGTGTTTGCGTTTTGTTTTTTGGCTGAGCAGAGTGCTTCGAGCGTTCGCAGTGTTTTTAAACAAGCATGTTGATAAACTATTGTGTTGCAAATTTTTCGTAACACGCACGTGATGGAAAGCAATGCAAATCAAATGTATTGTTTTCATAGTGGTGAGCAGGGAGTCTAATTAGATGTTTTCCACGGGATCGGCTGTTTCAAATCGAAATTCTGAGGCGTTTCCGATCTAGTATTTCTGATCAAATCGCACGTAACTGATTTAACAACTAGTGAAAAGTACAATAAAGGAGGCGTACTCCCTTTAATGGAATGTGCACACCAGTTGCATCAAACTTTTCAGGTCAAATAAATAGGGTGGCTGAACAGAATTTCTGGTCACATCAGGTCACGCATAACCCTGCCCAAAGAAATATAAATGATTTATTTTCACAGAGTGCATAAAATCCCGAATCAAATGGTGCTAACTGCTAAACCAAATACAGCTTACTTCAAACGAAAAAGTCATACATGTATGGAAACCATCAGTGTCTGGCGCAGTACATTATTTCTCGTTGTTTTTTACACGGGTCCTTACGACATGGAAAATCCCGTCCGTTGTAATTTTCTTTAAAGGGAGCATGCCACCTTTCTGTACTTTCAGTCAGTATTAGATCAGGCGCGCACGATGTGATCAATAATGCCGGTTTTCTCGAAATCCTTCTGGAAATCTCAGAATTTCTATTTCCGGTAGCCGCTCCCGCCGGAGAAATCTCATTGAACTCTCCGTTCACCATTATGAAAGGAATTCATTCAATTTGCCGTGCATTTTCCAACGAGTGTGCTCTGTAATGGTCCCAGTGCTCTTTTCAAGGCGCACTTCGGCCTTAGGAATAGAGGCACCAATCACATGGTCCACAGTGACGAGGTGG